AGTATTAAAGTTTACTGTATATTACACTATTTTTCCAGTATTGTACGTCCCACCAGTTCTGTTATGTCAGCTAACAGATGCCTGCACTGGCCGGCATTGTGCTGAGTGATGGGGAGAGGGGAAGGGCTATCCAACCCCCCCAAAAAGAGCAAGCCTTGTCTTGTCTTTAGCTAAATTATTTGGTGGTAAATGTGATCATCTCTGCGTTGTCCATGGCTTTCTGGCATGGTGGGCAAAAGATGTATGCTTACAATAATTGTAGCAGCAATTATATGTTTAACACAAATTATGCAGTGATGGGACACAATTGGGAGTCTTTGCAAATATTGCGAGGGTTGGTTGAATTTAGTTAAATTTGTGATTGCAGATGCCTGGAGGGACTGGCTGTAGTTCACAGAGGTTCAGAGATTTACTGCACTCAGTTACCGCTAGAGGGAGCAATTACTCTGAAGCTTCATGTCAATCACAGCACAATAGGGTGGTGATTTGTGCTCTGTGTCCTAATAAGTCACATTTTGATGCCTCTTTTGTTCCAGTTGTCTGGTTGTGAGAACAATGGCTACAGTCACATGATGGAGACATCTTCTTTACCCTTTTCACATGGAATGGTGAGTCACCAGTGGTTTCTGACTGTTAGTTTTCACAGTTAGCTGAGAGTGAATGTTTGGAATTTTTGCCCCTGTACAGTGGTGGAATTTTTACCTCTAATGTTCATGTATATGTGTGCGTCAGGGTGATGAACTGCAGCTGGTGCGAGACGCTCTGCGCAGTCTGAGGAACAGCTTCAGTGGTCATGACCCCCAGCATCACACGCTGGACACGCTGGAGCAGGGTGTGGCCAGCCTGATGGACCGTCTCCATGCCAATGACTCAAAGAAGAGGCAGGACGGGAAGGTATGTGAAAAAAACTCCACCTGATCTACAGCCATTGTTTATAATCAGTTTAAGCAGGAATAACGTTTACATGTGTACAACAAATCTCAAATCTTGTTTGACCACAGGGCCCAACCAAATCTCCAGGACGACGAGCCAATCACACAGATCGAGAATCATGGCCACCTACTTCCAGTGAGCCGTTTTAAACCAGTTAAATTATGAAATTTGTTCTAACAGAAGAGTGTACTGAAGTGTTTTTGTATGTGCTTCTTTCAGAGATAGCCCATTCTCACAGCAGCCCTGTGCTCAGCGCATCAGCCTCCACCAAAGTACTTTATTTCACAGACCGCTCTCTCACGCCCTTCCTAGTCAACATCCCTAAAAGGTACCAATATGAGTAACGGTAACAAGATACATTATAACCTCATCTGTATTTTGTCTATCATTCTGAATACCTTTTATTATTTGGCAGACTTGGTGAGGTCACACTTCAGGATTTCAAAGCCGCCGTGGACAGACGTGGCAGTTTCAGATATCACTTCAAGTCTCTTGATCCAGAGTTTGGAACAGTGAAGGAAGAGGTTAGTAGACTTTTACATACAGGCCACTTTATTAGAAACAACCAGGGCTCAATTTGAGGTGGGATGCAAGGGGTTTCCCTCAGAAAAAATAATAATTATAAACATATTCTGCCTTTAACAACATCCCTCCATTCCACCCCTTTGGATTTAAGTGATTTAATGGTGATATAATCATTATGTGATATACCCTGAGATGTCTGCTGTTAGGGGTGCGGGAAAAACTTGATTCTTCGATGCATCGCGATGTGGACGTGAACGATTCTGAATCGATTCATAAATGTCAAAAATCGATTTTCTAAATATTTAATTTATAACGTAATGTTGACGGAACGTAAAAGGCGGAACTTGGAAGTGGGTAAGTGCAGTGCCCGGACAGTCTGTGGCGGCACATAACAAAAACACAACAGGATGAGCGAGAAATCCGACCGACTCCCTCTGCATTAAAAGCCAGGTTAGATCAGGAGTCACAACACAAATGATAAGAAGAGCCATTTTGTCCTTTCAACAAAAATCAAACCACCTTGGGAGCCACAACAATTTAATGTCCAGTATGTCTCAGTATGTGATAATGTCCTAATATAGGCTAAACAATATAAACGAGAGCGCAGATTTACTTTAACGTTAGCTGCAGCCACTTTCCTCCCATTTCCACCAGAAAACCTTTCTTCAAAAGTAGTTCAGCTTATTGTAAAATGTCTCTCAGTGTTCGACTGTTTTACGAGGCTGAAGTCGCTTCTCATTCTCCAGCTTCTGGTTCTAATTTTCCCGTTCCACCTTAAATTCTGCCTGAGGCGCCGAATGTAAATGCGACACCATTTAAGGTGGAACGGAAAAATTCGAAAGAGAAGCGACTTCATCTTCGCAACGTTTTAGTGTTTGACAGTCTCTCGTTGCAGATTTAACATACCAGGAAACCAACTGCGCTGCTTATAAATGCGATTAAGTCCACTCATCTGTCTTTTTGTAGCTACTAGCTAGGCGAGACTTCGTTGCTGTGTGACCTGCAGTCTGCACGCCAGTTCTCAGTCGTTGAGAACCAGGGATTTCGCGCTTTGTTGCACATTTTGGAGCCGAGATTAAGCGTCCAGTTTCGAAGATATTTTACTGACACAGCGATCGAAGATATTTTACTGACACCCACCCACTCTCTACAACGAGACCAAAACCAAAGTTATAAAATCACTAAAGAAAACGGGCAGGATGACTATAATGTGCTGCTTGGACACCCATTGCCACTGGATCTTATGTCACCCTAACAGCGCATTTTATCACAGATGAGTGGCTTCAGTGTCTTATGTGCTCCAAACAAAAGCAGTGAATGAGAGCCTTCCAGTTCACTTGCCACATCACTTCCATTTGATTTATTAATAAAAGATATTGGAAGTAAAAGCATTATGGATCATTATAAATACTTTGCTTTAAAAGTACCAAGTCGTCACACAGTAAGAAAAAAGAAATCCTGTATAGAAAAAAAAGTTGCATCAAGATGCATCGATAATCATTTTGTAATCACATCACAGCCCGCTGAATTGTAATTGAATCGAATCGTGAGTCTTCAGACAGTAAGTCTTCAGACATTTGGAAAATAGAAGTCCTATATAGAAAAAAAAGATGCGTCAAGATGCATCGATAATCGTTTTATAATCGCATCGCAGCCGTCTGAATCGTAATCGAATCGTGAGGTGCCTAAAGATTCCCACCCCTATCTGCTATCAATATTTTAATACCATACTTCTCAGAGATTTACAGAAATTGTGTTGGATGTACTGGGATGTTCTGCATGCAGTTTTTTGCACTTTTGTTTTTTACTTTGCACTAAAAATTTAAACATAGCAACATCCTTCCTTTGAGTTAACTCAAGTTGAGGACACTAGAGATCAGCTCAGACTTCTTAGTTTAGTCAAAAGTTCCCCTAAGTCACATTCATCGCACCAGGTAAACAATACAGAAATATATAATACACTACTAGAATACTAGTGATGTGTCATTTTTGCACTTTTCCTGTCTGCTTGTCTTGTGAGTCCTGCCTCTCGAAATGTATCGAGTCAAACTACGTATTAACATGTAACTTTTTTTGTTTTATGACAAATGATGCATTTTTGTTCATTAAAAAGTAGACAGAGGTTTTATTGAAAAACAAATAATAGATAATATTGTTAACTTGTCTAATCAAAAAACGGACAATGCTGTTGAATTAGAGCCATTTGGGAGCAAAAGAGATGACTCTTATTGGTGAGCTGAGCCGACTGATCTGACTTACTGAAAAGAGCCACAATGCCCATCGCATTTTTTATTCATTTTTTCATCACACAGGGCTACCAGGCATTTCATCTTCTTGGGGCCCTAGTCATGGTTGGCTGAGGGTTGGGGTTTTACCTTACAATCTCCTGATGTTGACGTGAATTTTTTGTCCGCTGTGCCACTCAGGAGCCCCTTAAAGTTGCTTCAGTATAGCACCTTTTTGTTAACAGAATAAAAACTTAGTTCACAATCTGCCTCAGTATTACGAACACATAAAATACTCAGTCAGAAACACATCAATATCCAACTTTTTAATATCCAACGATTTAATTTACATTGAGATTTAAATAATTTGTGGCTGACCTAAATATTTTGAACTTCAAATAGTTTGTTAACAACAATCTGTATCCTATATTGTTATGTAAAGTTGTTCTCTGATGCTCAATGAAATTCAAATTTAAAATTAACCATGTTTCTTGCTTACTGATGCAATTGGGCTCCTGAGTGCTGCAACAGTCTAAGTATTCACCCCAACATCAGGAGACTATGAGCTCCAACCCCATTAATGGTACAGCCATCCATAACAGGGAGCCCAAGAAAAAACCTGGCGGCACTGTGTGATGGAAAGAGTCCAATCTATCTAGGAGGTAAATCTGCTTCTAGCTGGAACCCCCATCAACAGCACTGTGCCTGATACCTGTACTGATAAGTCTCACTGGTACGGTGAGAATGCTCCACTGCTGGATGATAAATGAGGATGGCTGAGAAGTTGTGAATGACAGCAGATGGGTTACAGTCTGTAACTGTTCATATAGTGGGCCTATATGACCTATATGGCCTCACCAAGTGGTGCCCCGCCCTGTTTATCTTCTATTTATCAGGTGTTCCAGGATGATGCTATAATACCTGGATGGGAGGGGAAGATAGTTGCCTGGGTAGAGGAAGACCATGGTGAGGGCAGGTAACTGAAGACTGAAGTGCAGCCAAAGTGATCTGGGGACTGTAATCGCTTCAGTATGTTCATTTGGTACATGTATATATACCTCAGCACCTCTCAGCTTTGAAGAATCTGCACCACGTCATTTCACATCATGCCAAGGCAAGTTTGTAGTCTGTTCACTTTTTGTGTGAGAACTGATTCTGAGAATGTTTTCAACAAAATAATTCTTGACATTGCTTTGACTGTATTGGTACTATGATCTGTATTTCATTTCTCTGTAAAAAAAAAGCTTTATAAGTTTAAAAAAAAGTGTTTTAATAAAGAACACAATTACACTGTATATGAAAAAGAAAATCAAGGAGGAAAATCAAGGAAGGAGTTTATTAGTTGCCAAACGACTTGTAATGAACATAGAATGTTGCCATGTGTGTTTCAGGTCACAGTTCACAATGTCTTGCTGGATTATCTTGTCGACTCTATTCATGGTAATAGAATATTCATTTAAAACTGTTGCAAGTGATTCCATAGACAGACTTGTTGGCTGTCATTTGAAACCAGAAGCTGGGAGAGATGGGACCACCTTATTTGTAAAATTTGTATTATTTGAATATAAAAATGTGCTTTTTGAAAATATTGCTCTTTTCTGTGCAGTCTGCATGTCTGTTCAGTGTTGAAATCAAATGCATCCAGTATTTGTTCACTTTTTTAGTAAATGTGTTCCATGAACAACTTGAGTCCACCAAGTTTTATGTTTTTGTTCATTTGTCTACTAAAAACCATGTCTGACAATGTGCAAAATGCAATGTTCAGTTTGTATAATGTTACAAAAACTGTAACGTAATTCGGTTTTTCTATATAGTACATTCTTAGCTCAAGTAACACGTCAGGAGACACTCTTGATGATATGCACAGTGAGGTTACCATGGAGCTGAAGAGGAGTACATGCAGTTGAAGGGGGTTTTGAGAATCTTCTTGTTGAGTTTACAGTACAGATGCTGTAACAGTCAACACATGTTTCTTTTTGTTGTATGATGCATGACAAGTCTCGTCATTGACACGCTCAGGAAACCGAAGATGGAGATGATACAGTTCCTCCACCTCCAGCAGAACGTCATCCTTTAAACAGAGAAATATATTGCATTAGAGTCTAAATATCTCACTAAATCAACAGTATTGCGCAAAAGAAAAAGACCACCGTTTTGTTTATTTAATGTCCAGTACAAGTCGATCATTTTTTATTTTCATAAAAACAGCAAAAGGTATATTCTTACACAAAGGCCTCCAACACTAAGTATAATATCAAATCTAGCAGTATTTAATTTGTCCACTCTTTACTTTTGTGCATCTACTGCCACTTTAACTCTTCCATCCTTCCAATCTTAAAGCCCATGTGTTTCAGCTGTGTCCTGCCAACAAAAGGAGTCACTGACATTATGTTCCACTTAAAAGAAGCACATTCACACAAGAACTAACCCAAACACAGCTTACCTTCTTTCTCATGTGCATCTAAAATGGTGAAAGGAGAATAGATATGACATAATCCACTTGCATAAGGAAGAATGAAGTCAAAGAAAAATAAGTGAAATAACAGGAGTCTCCAAAACTGGAGTTCAAAAAATTATTAAAAGTTACAGACAAAATGGAAACTGTACAAGATAGGGAAGACCTCCAAAACTCCATCAGATAAACAGTACTTAAAACTTTTATCTTTGAGCATGTGTAGCTGTCAAGCAGCTGTTAATGAGAAAAGGGAATTGACGAAAATGTAAAGTTGCACTAGAACACTGAAACCGGACATGAGTCTAAATCTGTAATGGGGATTGTTTGGATCATAAGACTCAGAAAATGCAACTAACTTCTTAGACTGTACTTGGGAAGTGTTTACAAGTATGGGAAAGGATGGGGAAAACAGATTTCTTTGAAAAACTGAAAGCAAGAAACAGAAAAGATTGGAAGCTTTAATAAAGGCAAACTGTGGACACATACTTAAATACTGAAAAATGAGACATTTTATTTAGTTGTTGTGGCTTCTGGTTAATTTTCTGTTAAATATATTTTTCTGCTTTTTTTCCTGATACTGAAAAATGAATAACTTGTACTCAATGGCTGTTTTGACAGCTTTTAAAATGAGGGTAGTCCCTGATATTTGCACAGTACTGTACATCTGTACTGTGTTATTACTCTTTTAAGTCAAGCCACAAGAATACACCATACCTCTAACACAGACTGCATATGACTATGTTAAAATCTCGACACACTGGCCATGTAACGTGTTAGATGTGTTAAAAGTAAGAGGAAATGTGTTGAACTGAACTAGACACAAAGATGTTTAAAAAAAATTGCATATTGTTTTTACTACATCTGTTGTATTTATCTGAGCTCCATAGTATATAAATATATAATATACAGCTCAATGACTGGAAACACTGACTAGAAGCACTGTACTAATATCCTATGAAAGAATGCACTATTGGATAGAAAGAACCTATGAATGATAACGGCTATGCATTTTACGTATGTACAATTTGAAAGAGCTCCTCCAGTATCACTAAGAGTTTAGTGATCATTTTGAATCACTTCTCTCCAACGTTTATTTTAAACTGTAAAATAAGCATCCCCCCAGATGCAGTGAAGCAGATGTAGTGGCATTACCTGGGTGATGCTGAGTTGGCACTGGGAGACGGAGTGTACTCCAGGCAGCTCCACACGCAGCTTTAAGCTCCTGCTTGAACCGCCTCTCTCTGCGCACACCGTGACCTGGTGCTTGGGCAGCTGCGGCTGGGCTGACTCTGTGCTGGAGATCACCTCAATCAGGCCTGGCCGTGCTCTGCCTTCCTCCTGCCCCACACTCAGATGAATGGTCGAGTCTTCTTTAGTCTCTTCCATTCGCAGTGAAGAGATCTGCTGAATAAGTGAGGCGGCTGAGGAAAGAGATAACAGCTTTCAATATTACTGCCCATTGAGGAGCTTTCTCTTGGAAGTAAATGCAACACTTCTGTTTTCATCTAAATAAAACTGTAATTGGTGGCAACATCTCACTCAGCAAAACAACTGGAACTGCATACAACTGTCACTTACCAGACTCTGTTTGTGGGTTAGGGCTGCTGAATTTGGACTGAGGTGGTGCCATAAACCGACGCTTTCACATCCTGTACGCTGCCCTTTAGTTTGGCTTTAGTGACAGTGAAGTGTTGAGACAGATTCAGGTTGTGCTGCTGCTGAATGAAGCTCAGAGCCAGTAGGTGTATCTGCTCCTTCTCCTGTGTGTCTCCCTCTGCCCTCTGAAGAACCGCAGGGTTGACGGCCACATCCACTATAGAGTAATTTTCTGGAAAAAAAGGCATGTACACTGCTAGATATAAAGGTACTTTGAATGTAAGTGTACACTCAAATTGTGTACCATAAATATGTTTTTCACAGGTGAAAAAAACATATTTGTATGTTTTCATAAGCTAATGTTTTAAAACAGGACAATAAAATAAAATGCCTGGAGACTAGATGGGGTGTGTGGAGTCAGTACACCTTAGAAAATATAATTTCAATGGATTATAATACAATTATGTTCCCTGACTAAAGGAACTGAGATGTACCTTTGAAGGTACCACCCCAGTGACAAGAGGAGTACTGCCCCAGTGACAGTTTAGTGCCTTTTTTCTGAGAGTGTAGATGAAAACATGTTTTGATTTCCCGATCAGAAAGAGTTTTAATAGGCGTTCGGGAAGAAGCATTCAGAGTGTTTATAAATAAAAATACATTATATATTAAAAGTCCATGCATGTCTCCAGAATGCTTGTTCACAGCAGGAAGTCCAACAGTCACTACAATTTCACTCTGCTTATAGCTGCTGACGTAATGCAGCAATGACATCATTAGTCTTTTTCCTGGATAATGCTAATCATCTTTAAGCAATGCCCGCCACAGCACAGTCCTAGAGGATTTCACACACGTGGATGATTTGGCTTTAGGATCTTGGATTAAGAAATGATGAAAGGTGAGGTGTACCATTCTCTTCAGCAACCGTTTCCAGTCTTCCACCACACACAGGAACAGGCTGTGTAGAAGAAGTGGGTGCTGGCACTCGTTTCCATCCACACATGTTCACATACAGTATTCCTTCTTCTGGCTTCTGGAAACAATCACACAAACCTTAACCCTTATTATGTGGTTACTAACCTAAAGCCTTGTTATGCTGTAGCTACAAAACATACTTTCTGGTAAAATCTATCAAACGAATATGTAAGTTATGTAGTTTTAAAGGTAAGGAACTGAAGTGTAGGCCCACATATGGACCACTAGGGTATGAAGTAGTTACATTTACTCAAGTAAAAGTTGTTGTTTGTTGTCCTTTCCAGAGTATTTTCAAACGATAATAGTTATATATCTGCTCAAGTGCTTTTGAGAGGAATGAAATCTACTCAGTTATATTTTAGTCACTAACATTAGTTACTAATTTATACTGCTTTGCTGGTTCAGCTCCTGGACTGCTTTGCAATTGTCTTTGACTTTAAAGCCTGACTTTAGACTAAGCATTTTATTTTAGAATAAACTGCAGTTCTAAATTGCTCTAATTTACTTCTATTAATTCTACCAATGTTTCAAAATGTGTGCATAATTCAGTCATTGAGATGTAAGTGGTTTAATGAGAAACAAATGTAAAAAAAAAAAGTATCTATAGTAAAAAGTATCAAATTTTTCTACGCAAAAAATGAAATAATACATTTTATGCCTAACTATATCATAAAACTATCTTAAAACAACATCTGCAGCATATCTGTAATTTCATATAGTAATATTTCCCCATATCTTTTAAAAGAAATGTATTTTAAAATATATTAGGTTAATATGGCAACATATTCTGAAATACATTTTAGTGTTGGAATGTATTTCAGCATGGACTGCAATGCATTTAAAGTGTATTTCAAACATATAAAAAATTTTGAACAAATCTTTATACAATTTTTCATATGAGAACAGAGGTTGGAAAATGGTCATGTAAAAATGAATTATGACTGTTTTTGGTACACAAATCTATGTAAGTGCTGCAGGTGGACCTGGAAAAATGTAAGAAACTTTTATTGTAATATTTTTACAACGAGCAAAAGATTAGGAATATTAGAGACAACTCCACTTGCCAAAATAACACTTTTGCACGGTTGGACCTGCTTCACTCTTTAACATGAAGCCCCAGAATCTCTAAGGGAGCTTTTACAGCTTTTTAAGCACGTCTGGTTCCTATCACCACCACTGTGGACAACTCTGACTTAGTTTCTCTGGAACGGAGCATTTCACGTTAAACCACTCTGAACGATTTTGTTTAACGTTATATCTTAACAGTTTACCTGTACAATTTAACCTTTACAAAACTAAAAGGTGAAACTCCATTTTAGGAAAAGTACATTTTCCTGTGCTTTGGTCGTACTGTACCTGTACAGATGTGCGGAGGCAGCAGTGCGGCTCAGGCGGTGAGAAATACTCAGCTCCCTCACTCAGCTGGCGGTCGATAAACGTTTTATAAGCTCCGGGATCATTCAGTGACATTTCGTCCAAAATAGACCAAAACTGGTTGACCTGCTGTAAGACAGCAGCACTCTGACCTCCCGGAACCCCGTCCATGGTCCAGAGCCTGTCTGGGCTTTAAACAGGAGGGTGGACGCCAAGCTAAAAGCTAAGCTAGCCAAGTACGGCTCCTTTAGTTTAACTAGACTTAACGTTAACTAATGTAGCGTTAACTTATGTAGGGTTCACAACCAAAAGTCTAATGTATGTTTACCTGTTTTAGTCGCAAATACTTTGTTTACAAATACTAAAGAGTCACGCAAATTAAGTGTTTCTCACCAGCACCTGTCTGTGACCCGACTATTTCTCATGAACAACATGTGTTGCCATAGAAACAAGGCCCATAAACTAATGTAATGTGTGATTCCCTCCGCTAGATGGAGGCAGCTCCCCAAATTTCGACTTGCACGCATTGGAAAGTGCAAACCTATGCCGTCTGCTGGTTGCGTTTAAAACATTTCATTTGCTTTATATTTGGCCACATTTTTGATAACAGATTAAAAATCACTCAAGGCAGGATCTGCTGCTGCGAAACCGACATTTTTTGGCATATAAGCACCTAAGCGCCTAAAATACAGTATAATAGCAGAACATTTTACAGAGCAATATAACTGTAGCGCTTAAACTACAATAGAACTACAAATCCCATGGCTGACTGTCGACGACGCGTCGTGGAATGTGTGAAAGTGACGTTATCCGCAGGACAGACTTTGTAGTCCGTTACAGGAAAACTCTCGCAAAATCTGTACTTTTTGCTGTTAATTGACAAATAACGTTTTTAATCGATAGTATAGTGTAAAATATATCTGAATATGGACATATGTTTCATTGTATAACCCCAAACATATTGTACAGCACCTTCATTTAATTTTGAGTGCAAACAGCAGGGGTGACTTGGACACTTTTCTTTCAGTTTAACTGAGTCATTTATTCAGTTATTGTTTTTAACAAGCACAGCTAAACTTTGTTTTTTGAGAGGTTGGTCACTGTAGCCAGCTATTTAAATGTGTGGTAGCCAGCTAACAAATCCAAGGCTTTGCTATGAGTACTTCCACGCTTAGCAAATGCTAACTTATTGATTTTTACTGTGTTTGAAAAAAAACTTGCACAGATTTCTCTGAATTAAAAAAAATGCAGGGTGAAAAAGCGTTCCTAAGTTCATAAGAGTTTTGGTCAGTCAGCATTGCTCATTCTCAGTTTTTCTTGGGGGCGTTTAGTGTGGGGAAAATCAACACGCTAATTACTATTAGGGATTACTAATTACTAAGGGAACAAAGTGTTGATAGTTGAAACACTTTAGTTAGATGATCTTACCACTAAAAGCAGATTTATTAAATAAACTATGATTTAAAAAGTAATTCACCACATTCAGACTGTTATCTATTAGTACCATGAGCTAGGGGTGGGCATTATGGCAAAAATATCACAATACTTAATTTTCTCGATACACAACATGCATAATGATACTTAGTTTTGGATAAGATAATACCAAAATATTACCTAATCTAACTTATAACATTATAATGACAATACCCAAAGTGATTTTCTGATACACAGTATGCAGGTTGATGCATGTTTAGAACAAGTGGTGCCACATTTAAAAAACAAACTAAAAAACTAAAAACACAGTGATTTTTAATTAACGTTTCACATATTGCACTGCACTAAGGTATCTGTAGATTATGGAATCAAGGGGACATCTGTCTGGGTTTTAGCTTAACCATATGCAAACCTCTTTTTGAGGATGTCCAGTATTTACAGTTACCATCCAATACCTGCTTCATCTAATCAATCCTTCTTTGAATTCACATTAAGGTGTGCTACTAATGGAATTAAACAAATTGCACTGCACTAAATTCAGTTAAACAGGGCTAATTATACTCTCATGCAATATTGCATGCAGTTGATCAGTGCTCTTTAAGTATAATTTCCACACTATGCTCAGAAAATATTTTGTGACATAATGTGAAATAACTATCATGGTATGTATTGCCCACCTCTAGTATAAACATATAGAATGTCTCACATTTAGGTTCATAGGTATCCCATTATTAAGCATCTAATTGAAAATGTAAAAATCTTTAAATAATAAACAAAAAAAGTGCCATGTTATTATATTCAATTAGTATTGATCAAATCCATTTTATCACCAGACTAATCAAGTCACTTGGGTTTTGCTTCAATAATTGTTGTTATCTTTTTTAGCGCCAGAACCCAGACATCGTTTCAGAAACCTTTTGAGAAAAGCATAAAAGTGCTAATCATTTATGAGCAAAGAAAAAAAATCTGTTAAACACCACACTCAATCTGTTACACAACACAGTTTATTACAAACATCTAAATGGAATATTAAACTGGAGCAGTTGAGGTTTTACAATATAAAAATAAAGCTTGAGATAAATGTCCACAATATCCAGCAAAAAGAACTTAGGTTATGAGGTTATGGTCCTTGACTGCAGTATTTCACTCGGTCTCTCAGTAGCTCTGCATGGAGGGAAAGAAGTCATGTTTATTTGATCCCCAAGAATAAACTAGTAGTGTAGTATATCTGCAGGGCATTATTGCAACCTACCTCTATCATCTCATAAATCCAGCCTAAAAACTCAGCCACTTTGGTGTATACACCTGGGTGATTGGGCTCTGCGCAGCCTGTTCCCCAGCTAACAACTCCAACCAGCCTCCATACATTATCATCCTGGCAAACAAGAGGGCCTCCACTGTCTCCCTGCATGAGAAGCAAGATTCTTACTCTTTTCACTGTTGTTATTTAGTAGGGTTACATTTTCCAGAGCATTTTTGAGGATATCTTTAAGGCCTTCTGACTGGAACATTACCTGACAGGCGTCCACTCTGCCCTCTGTATAACCAGCACAGATCATTCGTGGAGTGATCTCCCCATTGTACATACAGGAGCTGTTGCATTTTTTTGTGCTTATCAAGGGCACTGGAGCCTCTTTAAGAGTGTCAGGAATATGTACTGTGCAAAGGAATAAAAACATATGTTAATATACTAATGAACTTGTTTCTCATTTCCTTATGATGCTTGTTAGCCATTCATTACTAGTTAACACTTTACAGCGGGGTTGGGAAAGTCCGGTCCTGGAGGGCCAGATTCCTGCATAGTTTGGTGATTTTTCTAAGCAAGCACATCTCATTCATCTCATCAGTTAATTACCAAACTAGGTTGGGCAATATCTTATATTTATCGTGATAAATTCTGTCCCGAATATACTTTTCTTGCTGTGTAATGGATATTGTCAGTACTTAAAGAATGCTGAACTAACTATGTTCCTTGTAAAGTAAGCATAATTAGGCCTGTTTAATTGGATTCAGTGCAGTGCAGTTTGAATATTAATCACTGTAGTTGTAGGTTTATTATTATTATTATTATTATTATTATTATTATTGCTAATATAGAAATTGTAATATGTGATACTACAGGTTCCATTTTATCTGTTTTAACATATTAAATATCAGAAAAACTAAATATTCTGATGCATATTGTGTATCATAAAAACACCTTGAAGTATTATGATATAATATTTTTTCCATTTCGTTCATCCCTACATCAAAGTGTGCTGGACTCAGGCCCTCAGTTCCCCACCCCTGCTTTAAATCTATTACTAAAGCCTAATTATATTTAGGGATGCACAATGGTATTATCAGCATAGAGTTGGATGTAGTCCCTATTTCTGTATTTTACAAATGTTTAACATGTGTAAATGTGTATTGTCATCAGCCCACAATTCCCAAATTGCCTCCCTAAATATATTTGTGGATAGAGATTTATCATAGACTACATTTACATGTGTTTTATTTACATGTATTTTCCTTACCATCATCAGGTTGTGTATATCCCCAGCCAGAAATCCAGCACTGCGTTCCTCCTGGAAGATCATGGTCATACTGCGGTAGACACACTGGCCTGATGGTGTCTAGAGTTGGAATCATACAGAACACAAAGATACAGAACACAATATACAATATAATGGACATTAATGTGATTTTTGTTCAGCTGTTTTCACCTGAAAAATTCAAAGGTGTCCTTAGTTTCATCAGTGCAATATCATTGTCGTGGCTTCTGTGATTGTAGTTCTTATTGTAGATGATTTTCTCTACAGCATAGCCTGTATACTGAGCCAGTTTGGCTGAATTGCGAGTAACAATCCCAGCATAGACCACCCAGCTGGAAACTTGAGGTAGCCTGTAGCTTAAATGACAAAAATAATCAGAAATATGGTTGGTTTATCTGAAAGCATACTAGTGAGTTACTGCGGGCTTTAGTAAATGGTAGAATAGTTTTTAATAAGGGATCTTACTTGTGGACACAGTGAGCAGCTGTAATGATCCACTGGCTGTTGATGATGGATCCTCCACAGGTGTGACGGTTGCTGTAGTAGAGACTCACTTGCCAGGGCCACCTGCCTAGTGTGGCCTCTACCCCTCCTATTATCCTGGATAACTTTGCTCTCGTCCCACACTCTACACAGGGAAACATCCCAGACTCAAATTCATGACAGTTTTATTGCTTGAGTAAGTTGAGAAAATGTAATATTATAGTATTTTGTCCAGCAGGTAGAAAATGTAATTTATGCCTCACCAAAACATTTCAGAGCTATAACCTTTCCTGTGCTGCAGCTTCCCCTAGAGTCATAGAAAAAGATAGAGTGAACTCAGTACATTCTTTCATTAATGTCATATACCAGGCACAGAACTGCATAAAGAGTTACCTGAACTGCCATAAACTTTCCAGATTGCTTTGATGTTCTGAGGTAATTTGAACAAATCCAACGTTGTACTTTGGCCCGATGTCAGTCAGATTGACCCCCTTGTGCTTGGTTAATCTAGAAACAGAGGTCAGACCAAACAGCTGGATTTACAACTCTGAATGACATGTTCATCATGACACTTTCAGAATGAGCACACACTATAAACGTCATTCTTTGATGCAGGAATGAACATGACTGAAGCGAGTATCAGCACTGCCATCACCGTAGGAAAGGTCGACTAACAGAAAGCAGCCACAGCTGTTCTCCAAGTAAAAGGTGCTGAGAGCTGGAAATGTGTGTGCACGTGTGTGATTGAGCTGTCAGCATCGCTCACCTCAAATAGCCCAGCTGTCGACACACAAGGGTCCCCAGTGAGGAGTTCCAGCGCTCGTAGCACACGGGCAGCCAGGTCTGCAGCTTCTCCAGCTGAATCTCTAGCAAAGAGTTCTCTGCACTTATCCTGTAAAACACTGAGCCCCTTTCAGTCAAAATCCCTCCAAACACTAACCAGATTGCAAAGACAGGTGTCATTTCGGGCTGTCATTATTAATGCATTAGAAATTAAATAATCTAATGATTATTTTGGTAATTAATCAGATAAGATGGTTTTTTAAAAAGACAGACAATAAAATGGATTTAACTGAACAATAAAAACCATGCATAATTTTTCAAAGATGTCATTTATTTCCAGTCAAATCAGTACAAGTTATTTGTTTTTTTAAGGAGATTTTGGACATTAGAAAGGAGGCCTAAGGAAAGTGAAAATCAAAGGAAAACAATAGAAAAAACAGGAGTTTCCAAAACTAGAGTGAAAACAATTATTAAAATATATAGAAAAATGGAAGTCTTAACAACCATGCAAGACCCAGTAGACCAACAGCCACCATCAGATAAACAGTACTTTAAGTAATAGTTTGGTGAAAAATTTTGACTGCATTTAAAGTAAGTAGAAAATCATGTACATTTTTTACTGAACTATTTCTTTTAAGATTTTATCTTAGACAGATAAGAGAACATCAGGTTTCACTCTTGCTTCAGATCTGAAAAAATCCATCACACTTGTAAGAGAGACCAATAGACATTTTAAAAGCTCCTGAAAAAAATGCATCATCATACATGTTGCCTATTGTAGAAGAGAGAGAAGGATAAATGTGAAAATATCGCAGAATCACAATTCATATGCTCATTTAAAGCTGCTGTTTTTTTATTTTCAAACTGTAACTGTTGTTGTGAATATCTTTACTGACTGTTTATTTACGTCCTGCCGCATGCCATGCCTCCCTGTGTTCTGTAATTGTTACGGGTCTTTGGCTTTCCCGTCATCTGTCACGCAGGCTCTTCTCATTGTTCTTTTCATTTAGAGTGTAGCACTGTCACTCATAGGGGATTGTCTATGCTGTTGTGTTTACCAGCTGGCCCTGTATTGTTTTCACAGAGGCTGGTCTGGAGGGCAGTACATTGAGCTGCATGCCCCAGGCACATACCTTTCCTGGGGTCAGTAACAGAGGTGTCTTCTGATACGTTGCAGAAGGAGGTTTCTTTGGTATCCCCCAACCCTGTAGGACTCTGAGTTGAGGTAGGTCTTAAAAGAAGTTTGACTAGAGAGAGAGAGAGTGAGAAAGGAAAGCATATGTGTACTCTAATACTTACGGGAATTATATGTGCACTTTGTGAATGTTGGGAATGATACTGAAAAACATCTTACCAATGAACCACACACCAACAACAACACCTCCAAGTAGCCCAAGAGCGCACAGAGCGGCCAACACTCTAATCACTCGTTGAGTGGACACGTTTATGGATACTGAATGAAAGACTGATCAAATTTAAGAAGAGTGTAGAAAGACAAAAAGCACAAAAGTGCACATTTTTGTTAATAAATACAAATGTTTTCTAGCATACTGCTTGTAGTACAACTACAACTATTAGTACTACTACAACAGCTAATAAAATAGTAATAATAATAATAATTTAGTATCATTAGGCAGTTAGAGCACACTTATTTTCAAAGGTTTGGCCTGGGGCGGTCAAAATAAAATCTGACATTCAAATATTCAGCAAAGCCTATAAGAAATTGCACAGTCTAATGCAGAAAACATGCATCTAAATGTTTAAACTACCTCTTTAGTAGCTTTACCTAGTTACCTAGTTAGTAATATTACAACACAATGGCTACTAAATCATGGGAACTAAAGTAAGAACATGCAATTGCCCACCATAAGCAAAGAAAACAAAAACAATAAGTGTTGCCATTATTAGAATTTTAAATCATTTGGAAATTTCTGCAAACATCACACTGTAGCTTTTTTGCTATTTGATCATTATGAAAGAAGCAATATGTTGTGGAAATTTCTAAATGCATAAATCCTTTGCAATGATAAATCAGAAAAGTTTGTGGTACATGATTGTTGGTAAAAAAAATGGAACTGAAAATGTGTGAAAATATTAGACAAACAAACAAGGGTAAAATTCTAATTTTATTTCTAATCCCACATGACAGCCCTTGTTCAGTCTGTATCCTCACTTATCTGCGGTGCACTGATCTAAAGTGTGTCATTGATGCATGCTGTCTGTACCTGTGTGTGGGGCCTCGATCTCTCTGAGCCAGGAGCCAGGACTGTCCTGGCCTCCTTTCCCCTGAGCCACTCTCATCGTCTCATCCTGGAGAGAGTGCCTGACTGCCACAGGGTTTTCAATCACAGCCAGAGCACCTTCACCAAGACTCTGTGACGCAAACATTGACCATATTGATCAAACTGAACTTATTATGAGGTAGGTATTATTTATGATGGACTGTAGAGTGTTGACAGCTGTAATCATGTCATCATTTCTGTTGGCCAGATCTGTTGCCAAGCCACCTGTGCACACCTTGCTTTGCTCAGTAGCTCACCGTGATTCCCTGCCCACCCATACGTGCACTCATACAATCGCTTAACAGCGCAGTTACATGAAATGTCTTTTCCATTATACTGTGACCATTGTGTGTATGTATGTAAATAATAGCTACCAGTTAAAATGAACAAAAAAACTCTGCTGCATGAATTTATAGGAAGACATCATAAATGAGATTAGAAATATTCTAGAGCCCTATATGTTGAAAGATTATTTAAACACATGTCTATACTTAAAATCTAACATTTTATTACAAGAAATTAAAGTTTAACAATATTCCATCAATGTCTGGTCTAATTAACAGCAAACAATGACTGCAGGCAAGTAAAATATGTGGTGATATTAGTAAATATAAGCTTATGTTTTAGGTAATTTCACACACAATGTTACTTATACAACCCGTGTTGAATAGGCTAATAACTTCTTTACAGGTACGAGTATAGCACTGTGGTGTACATCACATATTCTTGAAAGCAATTCCACAGAAATTTCATAGCCTGTTAAAAACCTTACATGAATAGGTTAATAAAAACTAACTTCTATACAATAAACATAAGTCTCACCATGGTTTTTCCTGGTTGTGAGGGTCAAGGCTAGCGTGGCTTTGGCAACTCCTGCTCTCGCTCACCCTCTCTGCTCCATCACAAGCTAGGTCTGCTGTGCGCTCCTGCTGCTCAGTGCTCAACCATTTAGCAGAATGCAACTCAGGATTTTCGTTTCACAAAGAGACAATGAGGTCAGCAGTGGAGCAAAGAATGAGCCCGTTGTTTTACCAAGGGGGTCATGGGGCCTGGGCTGGCTGGCTGAACCAGTTCTTTGTAGGGCTAAACATCTCCAAAGATATCCCCCTGTCACTGATAGGATGCAGGTTGCTTAGTAACACCCCCTTACCTGTGCCAACAGTGTGTCCACTTTGCAGAAGAGCTTATTACCTGATGATTCGCAGCTTTGGAGAGAAGCTTCTAATTGCAAAATGTTGAAAAGAAGAGTGTTGTCATTTCATGTCAGCATAAAGATGTTAACATGGTTCATACTACCATCATTTAGCAGCGCTAACCAAGAACAGAATATACATTATTCAGTAAATTCAACATTAGGGGACAGAGGTCTTTTTGTGAAGGACTGTATGATGAAGTCAGTTCTTCCTCGGCCAAGTTGTAATGTTAATGTAGCTCATCTGAGCATTCCAGACAGTCTGTTTTGTGTTTCATGTGGTTACATCAGCACTGAAAATATTACAGATAATGATGGAATTGCTGATCAATTTTTACTTTAAAACATGAATGTCCCACTGAGAAGAAGTTGAGATACACTGAGACATGGGTGTCTCTTCATGTGTCTTTGATATATTAGCAAATGGGCTTGGAGCAGGTGGGGAGGGAGTATCACTGCAGTAGTATTCTCAAAAGCTGAAGTTATAGCTCAGGCACTTCTTTATAAATTATGCACTAAGTAAAGACCTGCAAGTGTGAACCTAATAACACTTGGTTTTTTCAATGGTAGTCCATAACCACAGGATATTATTAAACTCTAAGACAAGTAAGATTCAACATTTCACAACATTTTAAGACATCTGTTGTTAAACATGATGTGGTAAAACATATTTACACAAACACTGATTTGATTCCTGTTGTGTGAAAAAAAACACACTGGGAAACTTATACAACAAGTTAATTAAAGATATCACACTTCTAAAGTGCTTTAGTTTGGATCGGTCTTATTTTCCACTGATTGAATTTGAACAATGTTGAGAAAAATCTGTCAAGACCACACAAAGCATGATGTTTTAAAGCATGAAAAAACTTTTCATCCCTGAGTCCATAAATTAATGGACTTAAGCAACGCGGTGCAATAATGAAGATAACAAAATCAGCATATCTCAAATGACCATATACTGACACATTTATCTTTAGAAATACCATTTCTATATATGGGCTTAAAAACTGCATTATACAGAGAAACAGCTGAAAAGCATGAAGGATCACAGTTCTAAGACTCTTGTTGGTTGATTTCTTATTGTCAGAGGAGGCGGCTCTGGCTGCGGTCATTATCTTGATGTAGGTGAAGACAATTATAATGATCATGAGGAGAAAAAGAAGCTGCAAAATTGTAACCCGCGTCTGTGCCTGCCACTCTTCTCCTAACATTAATTCCACACTGCACACATCATAGGAGAACAGACTGCTTGGAGGAACCACAGACAAATATGCTACCAAAGTGAACAGTGGAACTATGGAGCTGATACCCCATATAATAAGAAGTCCAAAGAATCTGTTTCTGCTGGTAGAGATGTCAGCATGTCTTAAAGGCATGCATATAGCAACATAGCGCTCCAGACACATTGCCACAAGAGTCAGTGGAGTACAAATGGTGAAAGCAGTTACAATTGTACAGATGATAATACAAGGAATCATGTGAATAAGATACATGTAGTTATTCCAAATCAACATTACATCACTAATTACCATAAGAACAGAGTCTACCAATAAGGTTTGTGCAAACAAAATGTAGCGAGTGTCCTCCCTGAACATGTTTTTTTTCAGAAAGGTGAAAATCATCAGACAGTTCACATAGAAGAAAATCCCCACCAGGATCTGCACCATCATAACCTTCTGCATAAAAATTCTTGAAAAGTTCATCAACTGATTAATGTCCAAGCTACTGTTCACTGAGTTCTGCATTTCTGAAAAAATGTTAGTATAATAGATCTAGAATAGGTAGATTTCACAAATCAATCACACTGAATAATTAATACTCAAATACGTCTATGATGGTCTACTGAAAATAAAGTGTAAGCAGTAAAACAACCAGCAGTTGCAGTGGGCATGATCCTATGGCTGGTGTACTTATACTGTTCTCAAAGACCCTTGGTGATGAGGCAGGGCCTATGGTACTTCAGTTTGCTTACAGAAATTGCATAGCAACTGTATTTGTGTTGACAGCATTACTATTTAATTGCAGTCTTTGAAAGATATGTAATGTCTTACAGATTCACAATTGGAACACACCGTGGTGTTTGGGATATACTGTTGAAAGATACTGAACATAAAATTTACATATGTTATTTATTAAGGGTCAAAGTGCTGGAACCCTATTATTTTGTTTTTGATTCTTTCCCCCCCCAAAAAATGTGAAAAACAAACTGTAAGTCATACAGATATAAAACCTGGTAGACAAGTAGTACTGCTTCATTTACCATTATTTTTAGAGACAAAATAATTTTTGTCAGATTCTTTAGCTTCAAATGAACTCAAAAAAACAACTCATTATTTACTGGGTTAATTTACTGAGTCATGTATCTTCAGAAGGCTCTGTGTTAAAATGCACCTGTGTTTTTTTTCTGTGAGACAAATACACACGTTCCTAGGGTTTTCATGAAAGCTGTGCAAATCTGGCCTCAAAATAATCACTGAACTTCAGTTATTTACGGAGCCCCTAAGGTGACATGCTGATTAATAAGGCGTGGCCACAAATTTATACATTGCAGCAACAGTTTACTATATTGAGGCCACAATTTACTATATGGGGGCCACAAATTAATATATCGAAGCCACGAGTTCTGAGAAACTTAAAATAGTAATTTGTGCCAAATAACTGTTTAATTAAAGTGATAATGGACCAACTAATTGATTATGAAAATAGATGTTAGTTTTAGCTTTACATGCCATTGTTACCTTAAAACCACTTTTGTACCATTGATGGGTCATTTACATTATTTGTACCATGATGAACGAAAAATGTACCTGCACAGAACCTTTATTTCTAACAGTGTAAGCATTTCTGCAAAAAAAGAAATGCGTACAATGAGAAGCACCTGATATGCACTGTCAAATATACAGGTGGATCACTGATGTTTTATTTTAAAATATCAGATTTTAGCCCAAAATCTGTCTGACTCTGCCAGAAGGCGAAAACTTGGATGTGGGTGGACCTTTTCACAAGATAATGACCCCAAAGACACCAAAATCTACACAGAAATGGTTGCGGAAACACAAAATCAAAGTTTTGCAATGGACCTTTCAGTCTCCGGATTTGAACCCAATTGAAAACATGTGGTGTGTATTAAAGAAGGCAGTCCACAATCAGTCCACAATTGTTCCAAAACACACTGTAATCATAAAATATGCAGTTTACAAATCTGTTTAAGCCTTAAATATCACTCATTGCATCAGTGGTGTTTATAACATATTGATTTTAGCTCATTTCCATTAAGTTTGCCAAATGTTCTGGAGCTGACTATGAATAATTAAGAGAAATGTTGGCTTTTTATTACATTATTGGAACAATCAAACAAAGTGGCTAGTATTTTTTAAACTCTGTTTAGACATTGCCTGATTTTGAACAAGTTTGACATTGACATGATAACAGTGGGGCATGCCAGTTTGACTTGCCCTGCAGGGGGTGCAACAGTCTTACATTTTGTGCCAGTGATCTATGAATAAAATGAAAATGAAAATATCTGTTTAAAACAGAGTAGAATAACTGCTGTCAAACAGAAATCTTTATTCTGAGCAACATTTTCTTTAGATGCGTTTTGCTAAATTATTTACACTGTTAGAAATAAAGGTTCTGTGCAGCTACACTTTTTGTACCTCATGGTACAAACAATGTAAATGTCCCATCAAAGGTACAAAAGTGGTTTTAAGGTCCAGTTGTGTACCCTAAATCTGTTTTTCCTAGTGGAAAAGTACATATTTGTACCTTTTCATAACCTAATGTTTTAAAACAGAACAATAAAATAAAAAGCCTGGAGATGAGACGGGGTGTGTGGAGTCAGTACATCTTAGAAAATATAATTTTAGTGGATTATGGTACAATACCTTTCATACCTTTTTTTCTGAGAGTGTATGATATTGGATATGTACATCTTACACTTTTAATGTGAAATTTTGATAATAGGTGTAATTAAAATGAAGTATTATTAAAATATCATAGAATAAACACACCTCTTCTATGTCTATCATTACAAGTTTTGAGTCAATATAATAAATTGTATTTTCAAATATTTGTGTGAATGTGGAGGGACAGTCCGAAGCACATGGCAAAGTCACCATAAAACATTTTTAGGCATTAAGGTAAAGATATTGTATTGTATATAGTATTCATAAAATCTAGAGATTTATGAGGAAGTTAATTACCTATATGGCAGTGCTGCTCAAGATTTATTTCTGTATTTATTGAATCATCATCTACAAACTGTTATGTCTGTGTGTGTTTTTTTTTATATCAATTATTTTGGTGGTGGGCTTAAATGTTACAATTCTGTGGTTAAAACTTATAGACATGCTGATTCTACTTCAGGCAAAAATGTTAATTAGTGAGGGTAGGGTAAGAGGCAGTCTTAGCAATGACTGACAGGTTCCTTAGCTGCTCACAAAGAGATTGGCAAAAGTTGTGCTCTGTGATCAAGTTCCTCACAGGTGACAGAATAATTTGGTACACTTTGCCACCCTTGCTCAAGTGCTGCTCTAGGCGATTGCCTAGTTTGTGTATATTGACACACTGGCCCTGTACAAGTGTTCTATTTTTGTACGACTTTGTGTTTTTCTCAGTCTTATTTTACCACTGGCAGAGACAACTGTGTATCCAAAGTACCGAACAACTATCATACGACCACTGAACTCAGGACATCTGCTGCTGGACATCTTGAAGAGCACATCTCTCATGAACTCTCTGACAAAGGAGCTCCTCAGCCTCGGATTGCTACACAAGTAAGGCCAGAGAACCGCCTCAGGCTTGCCTACTACAGTGACCCAGGTGAGGATGCACTGCAGGCAGCATGAGCGCAAGCAGAAGCGTGGAAAGTGGGGCAGTTTGAGTTAAAAGCCAACCCGGTGAGACCGGCTGTCCCAATCATCCTGTTTGCGAATGTTTACTCAGTGGGCATTACACTGGACAATATCAACATACAACAGACTCAGTGTGAGATGAAGGACTACTGCAGTTTTATTTTCATAAAAACGTGGATGAACAGACTTATTTCTGATGTGGCCATTCAACTAAACAGGCTAACCACTTTTCATGTGGACACAGAAGTTAACACTTGGTTTGTGCATTTATGTCAACACAGGATGGTGCACAAAACACCGCTTAGCGATGTTGGAGTTCGTGGCAGTTAAATGTAGACCTGCCGCTGGAATTTACCATTATTATTATTGTGGCTGTTTATATTTATCCCTCAGTGCTAATTATAAGGAAGTACAACCTAAGCTGTACGGAGCCATCAGTGAGAGCCGTCCTCTAATCCCGATGCTTTTTTCATTGTCGCCAGGGATTTCAATCATGCCAGTCCAAAGACAATACTACTGGATTTATACCAACACATTCAGTTTGCAACCAGTGGTGCAAACACCCTGGATCAACAACATAAAGGACTAGAAGCCTCCCTCCATCCCCCACCTCACACTCTCCGAACAGCTCATAGACATCAGTGAGTATACTGAATCAGTAGTGGGATACATCAACAAATGCATTGAGGATGTTAGTCACCAAAGCCGTCACAAGGCGTACCAACCAGAAGCCATGGTAGAAATTCAAAAACTGCTGAGAGCCCAAGATGCTGCTTTTAGATCAAGTGATGAGGTAGCATTCTGGGAAGCCAGAGCCAACCCCATGTCCCATGGAATCAAGCTAGCAAACTGTAAGTAAAAATCAGTGACCAGTAACACAAAATGGCAAATGTGGCCAAATGGCAGGGCAGACACACCATCACACCCCACCAGATGCCTGAGACACAGATAACTCTCTCCTGAATAGACTGAACACCTTCTATGCAAGGTTTGAGGCCAAAAACACTGACTTGGCAAGGAAATCCACCCCCCTCCAAATGACCAGATACCCTATCTGCCTGCAGCAAGCATGAGGAGGACCCTGTCTGGAGTTCATCCATGCAAGGCAGCAGGACCCAACAGCGCTCCAGATCAAGTGCTCAGCGACTGCGCAGGCAGCTGGCTCATGTACTGATGGATATCTTTAACATGTCAAGAGTCAAACTTCAAGATGACAACCATCTGACCAGTGCTGAAGAAGACTGTGGTGCCCAAACTCAATGACTACCTCCCTGTAGCACTGACGTCCATTACCATTGTTTCAAGCAGTTCATCTCATGTCACACTCCTCACCACACAAGATCCAATGCAGTTTGTGGACCACCAAAACAGAGCCACAGAAGATGCAGTCTCATATGCCCTTCACCTAAACTTGACAAAGTGAGCTATATTGTCATTCCTTCTCATCACAGATGTGTTGAAACAGGAACAGAATATTTTTGTTATTTTTGTAAGTAGTTATTTCGTGCCAACAAAACTAGACTTCACAAGTTCTAACTAAATTTCAGTGTTATAGTGCATTGTATTAGGCTTGGTGACCTGTTTCTGAGCATCCATTTTTGCCTGCATACCTTTTAAGACCTTGAGCAATGTACATGAAAATTACTGCCTCAGCTAGTTTAGAATAAAGACCTGCAGTCACATCGGCCCTACTGGAACTAGACTAAAGTATGCTGATTTACCAGCAATGTTATGATGCTATGATATGATCCAAATAAAATTACTTATGGAGTTAAGCTCCATAAGCTGTTATCTGTCTTCATAAACTGTCACATTTATTTCACAGCTATGTTGTATGCTAGCCTATTATATCACAGCTATGTTGTCTTTTAGCCTAGTATGTGTATTGCATA